TCACGTCTTGGAATACGTCTCCGCAGAGCTCTCAACACCCGTTGGGGGCCAGGCGCAGGTGGTTTTCCAGAACAGGCCACCAGAGGAGTCTGCGGATGAGGACAGCATAGACTGCCTGTACGGGTAGGGATGGAGTCACCAGGTGTGGGGGGTTGTTCATCTCCACCAGACGGTGGAGATCAAGACGGCGGTGAGCCCAGCCTCTGCCGCCCAGAGACAGACTTTCTCTACCTTCAGGTAGACGAGGCCGTGGCTGCGCGGGGAGCAGACCCCCCGGCCTGGGTCCACCCTGAATGGAGGTGACACATTTCTCCACATCAGGTTGAATCCTGGCGTCAGCAGGCTGGAGGAGTTTCTCATGGCAATGCTGCAGGTGCCAATGGGCCATACGCTTAGTCCGGAGGAGGCGAAGCTGCTCATGAACCAGACAGTACAGCAGGTCCAGGATACTCTGAGCATCCCGGAGGATGTTGCTCGGCACCTCCTCATGCACTGCAGGTGGAATGTGGACTTCCTGGTCCAGAGCTATGTGGAGAACCGTGAGGGCCTGCTCGTCTCCTCGGGGCTGCAAGTACTGGATGCCCAGCCTGCCCCGAGCCCAGGAACCCACTGCCCAGTCTGTGTGAACCAGCTGTGTCCCACTGAGGAGCCCCCAACCCTCTGCTGCATGCACTACTGCTGCAAGGTGAAGTCTGGGGGTCCTTGGCTCCTGTAACTTGGTAGGGAATCGCTGCTGCCTAGCTGGAGCAGCAGTTTCTATGTCTGAAGCTGTTAGCAGCTGATTTTCACAGAGCTCATGCATTCTCTTTTTTTCAGTTCCCTTGTTTGTTGTGACCCTTCAGCTCCTGATTAGTCTGTTCCTATTTTTGTGCTTTTGAGTACTTACCGAGGGTTTGCGGTGCTTTCATGCACCCTCGTCTGCGCGAGGTGGGCTTCCAGGGTCACGTAACCCAGGCGGTGCTGCTCCTTTTAGCTCTGATCTCTCCTCTTCTGCCTTCACAGCCCTGTTGGAGTGAGTATCTCACGACTCGCATTGAGCAGAACATGGTTCTCAGCTGCACCTGCCCCATATCCGAGTGCCGTGCGCAGCCAACTACAGCCTTCATTTGTTCCATTGTTTCCTCCGAGGAGATTATAGCCAAGGTGAGGTAGGAGAGGCAGTTACTGGGTGTCCAAGCTCTGTTTTGTTTTGGACAGCACCAGCAGATAAGCTTGCTGCTGCTTTTCCCCTTCCCACTGCTAAGCCTGGCAGTGTCACAGTTGAGGCAGAGCAGACCCAGGGGTGTCTGCTGTCTCTGGTCGTGGTCCATCCCGGCTACTCAGGAAAGCGTAACGTCAGCCAAAGAGCGCAGTGGCGTTTCCTCTGCGCGTCTCCAGCAAGCAACATTTCAGATCCATCCTTGGTCGAGGCCCGGGTGAGAGCTGTGGTGCTGGCAGCTCATGACAGGTACCCTCTGCTGGCATGCTGGAAGCAACTCTAAAATCTAGGACAAATGACAAGGAAACATTTGGCAATTTCATTTTATCGCTGCATGAATGACCCCGATGTCCTTTCTCTTCCTTCAGTCTTTGGCTTTGAGCACCTCAGGTTTATTTGGAGATGCTGGAAGTTGCCATGTCAGACTTAATCTTCACTCTGAGTCTGTGTGGGTCTACAGACATACCTAACCCAGACTCCCTGAGCTCTGCTCACCTTAGTCCTCAGGTAGCAGGAGCTGCTTGTTCTGAGGCAGAAACTACTGTTCTCCCTATTCTTCCAGTTTTTAGTTATTACTTAGAGTTGAACATCCTCCCCACATAATGGCAGAGCTGTGGCTGTTGCATGACAGGCTTTTTTTGTTAATTGCTGGACAGAACAAGTGTCTCATCTATTGTCCACTGCTCTGTTATTTGACAGCTCTCCACCAACAATTGCTTCTCCAAAAATATTCTCCTCCTCTTGTTACTGTCATTATGATCCTGTGTGAACAGTCATAAAGAGAAACGAACAGCAGCCATACCTTATATTTTTTCTTCAAGCTTGCTAACTGGCAACCAAAATGGGCAAGGCTACAGAAACGCATTTCCTTCGACGTATCTCGTGCGTTGTTTTCCGTTCTTGGAGAATTAGTGCATGTATCTGGGCAGCTAGTTCTTTGCAAATCCTGTAGTCACAGTTGTCTGAGAGCAGGATTTAATACCCGCTTGTTATGACTGTTTTATTAAAAATAATTATTGCAGGTCAGTTTTAACAAGTTGCTCCGATGCTCTCACTGAAATCTTACCTGTTCCTCTCTTTGCTCCGTACGTGGTATGGCCGGAGCATCAATGCCTCATGCAGAGTCACGCATGCAGTCACAGAATAATTTAGGTTGCAACGTTCTGTGGACAGCTCTGCTCCAACCCTGCGCCCAAAATATCCAGGTTACTGTGTGAAGATCTAACGCTGCCCTTGAAGCATACTGCTTCAGCTTCACGCTTCCCCGAGTCTTACACTGAGGTAGCTCTAGGCGGTGGTAGGATTCCCCCCCTGCTGCCTTCTCCCTGTGCTGCACGGAGCCAGCTCTTGCCACCTCCCCTCCCACGTCCCGTGCTCCAGCCGCTGACTGTCATGTTGGCCTCTGGATGACATTTTCCCTAATCTGTTAATCTTCTTGTACTTGGTAGCCCAAACTGTTCCCAGTATCCAGTTGTGTCACCAGTGCCAGTCAGCTGTGAGAAATCCCTTCCCTTGCCTGCTGGCTGCACTCTTGCTGATGCAGGAATATTTGCGTTCAAGCTTCTTGTGCTTGTGTTTCTACAAAACCTAAAGACCCTGTCACGCCTCTGAAAGAGGTTTTCTCTCAGCCTTGTTTCCCTCAAGTTCCTCGACAGCCTGTTCTTCGGAGGTGGTCTTCCATTGTGCTCCCAGGGATTCTTGCCCTAGCCTCCGTACCAGGATTAACTCCAGCACATGTGAAGGTTCCTCCAAGATTTGTTGATCGGTGTCATGTGGAATTTGGCACCTTCTTGATTGTGCCTGGCTGGCTTTATTCCCACAACCTCACTGGCCACTTGTTCCCTATCCTTTTAGGCTTCCTGAGAGCAGCTCTTGCTCTTATGGTTCCAGTAGGAATCCTGGATTCGCTCCAGCAGCCGCATCTCTGTTTGCTTAGCCAAGAGAAGGCTCAGGGGTGGATCTTACCAACATGTGTAAGCACATGGGTGGGATTAAGGAGCCAGATTCTTCTTGGTGGTACGCAGTGAAAGGATAAGAGGCAGTTGGGCACTAATTGAAATACAAGTAATTCCATCTGAACTTAAGAAACTGTTTTTTAATAATAGGGGCAGTGCGACATTGGAACAGGTTGGGCAGAGGCTTGTAGTCTCTATCTTTGGGTGTGATCCAAACCCCACTGAACATCGTCTGGAGCAACCCTGCTTTGAGCTGGAGGGGTCGGGCTGCTTTTCATCTCCGTGGGTGCCTTCCAACCTCAGCTACTGTGTGTTCCTGTGGAACGGCCTTCGGCCATGCCGCAGGGAGTGGGGAATTCACACAGAGGGAACGAACTCCCTGCTGTTGTGTTGTGAGCAAGAGCCCAGAGGCACCAGACCCCAGTGGTAAGGCCTAGCCATGCAGCTTCTCTGCCTTAAACCTCCTTCCTGGCTTCTTCTTGCAGTATGAAAAAGCCCTCCTCAGAGGTTACGTTGAGTGTTGCTCCAACCTGACGTGGTGCACCAACCCTCAGGGCTGTGATCAGATCATCCTTAAGGATGGACTCGGCTATGGGGCAGCCTGTTCCAAGTGCTTCTGGATATCCTGCTTCAACTGCAACTTCCCAGAGGTGAGGCTGAGCTGAATCACGGGCAATACTGTCTCGGGTTCGGCACACATCTTCCCGCTTGTGTGCGGTTGACCCTCTCTCTCTCTCTCTCTCTTTCAGGTAAGATATCCTGCCAGCTGCAGCCACATGTCTCAGTGGGTGGATGATGACGGGTACTACGAGGGAATGACAAGCGAAGCTCAAAGCAAACACCTGGCTAAGCTCATCTCAAAGCACTGCCCCAGCTGCCAGGCTCAGATAGAGAAAAACGAGGGGTGCCTGCAGTGAGTATCCGTTGCTGTTTGCCACCGGAGGCGGGAGAGGGCGCAGATGTACAGTTAGGTCCATTGGGCTTTTTTTTTGGTGGCTGTGGAGTAAGAGCAGACTTAACCAGCCTAGCCCTGTAGCAGAACCACAACTGTCTGCCCTCAGAACCCGCTGTAGACCTGCAGAGGCGCAGGTTAGGGCAGGGGGTAGCTCGGCGCTGTTTTTTTCTTTCAGCCTCACCTATTACCTGTAGCTTCGAACAATTTCCTTTTAACTGCCACTTTTGAATCGGCTCGGATCTCTGGCAGCTTTTTACATGCCAGGGAGGTGACCTCCAGCTTTGAAGCCGGGCCTTAAGAGACACCGCTCGTTCCCCTCTTGCACCGGCACGGCCCTTGGCACCCAGCGAGGGTTTGTCTCCACGTGGTGTGTTGTGACCCCCGGGGCCACGCAGTGCCTCTCCGCCCCGGGGAGCGCTGCGTTACGGGTGGGGAGAGGTGAGGTGCTGGCGTGGGACAAGCCTCAAACCACAGGGTTCCCCCTTCAGCTGCTTGGCACCGCGAGGTTGTGCTGCCACTTCACCCAGCTCGTTTTTGGAGCGGCGGTGGCTCGTTTTAAGCCTCGTCTGTGGCAAAGGCTGTAAAAAATACACGCAGGGAAATGCGTGGTGCCGGGTGAACGGAAGTGACCCCAGCCACGAGATGTAGGGGAGCGCTGGGGGGCTGTCGGCACCGTGTGATTCCCACTGTCCTGCCACACAGCATGACGTGTGCCAAGTGTAACCACGGCTTCTGCTGGCGGTGCCTCAAGCCCTGGAGGCCAACTCATAAGGATTATTACAACTGCTCTGCTATGGTGAGTGGTTTGCTGTATCCCACCGGCTCACGCTTGCCTGCAGCTGCGCGTGGCCCCTCGGGGAGCGTGGGGATCTCCGCCGTCGCCCTTTACGCCGCGCTTTGCGCACTTGCTGCTAGTATCGCCCGTGTTGTCAAAGTCTGTGCGTGTGGGAGCCGTGTCCAGGCCCCCCCAGTGCTGCAGGGAGATGGCGACGGGTCACTTCTACCTTTCCTTCCAGGTGAGTAAAGCAGCTTGGCAGGAGAAGCGTTTTCAGGATTACAACGAGAGATGCACCTTTCATCACCACGCGAGGGTAAGGCCTCCTCCTTCCTTTGCGGGTGCTGACTTCTCCCTCAGCCCTGGGGAGCAGGACGGTTTCTGTCCTCTCTCAGGGTATTTCGCCCGACGCTGGGAGGCAGGCTTCAGATCCGGGGTGGGGGATGCCCCGTCACTGCGCCCTGCTCTGAGGGAAGGGGTAGTTCCAAGCCTGGGGTGGGAGCTGAGCGCCTCGCCTGGGGTGTTTGCGTGCCCAAACAGAAGCAGTGGCAGCTGCGGGTTGACCTCGGTCTAGCTCGGAGCTACTGTGAAAGGTTGAAGTGGTGGCACAGTGAAGGTGTCATAGTTGGGTGCAGTAAATGCCCTCCTGCTGCCTGCATCTTCTGGGATGGCACCTCAGGATGCTTAGTAATCATCTGTGTGGAAAGTGCTGTTTTTTCAATCTTGTGGAGCTTGAGATTGACTTGTTTTTCCCTTTCCTCCTGTGGTTATTGCAGGAATTTGCCATGAATCTGAGGAACAGGGTTTCTTCCGTCAGTGAAATGCCAAAGATTAGGACTTTGACCTTTGTTCTTGACGCCTGCAAAGTGCTAGAACAGGCACGGAAGGTAAGGCTGGTTAACAGGCTTGCTGAGGCTTAGGCCTAGTTCTGTTGGTGTGTTTTCTGCCGCTCTCAAAGTGAGGAGATGCCTCCATTGCAAGGGGAAAGCAGGAAAAGCGCGAGGGGAGGAGGAGCGTCAGGGCAGGGGAGAGTTGCTCATGTCTGCCTTTCCCTGCTCTCCCTCTGAGCTGGGCTCTGTCTGCGGTGTTCCTCACGGTCAGGTCAGAGGATTTGGAGCTCAGCTCAGGTTGATGCCACAGAAGAAGCACAAGGATTTATTTAGGGTTTCTTTATACTGGGTTTGGTCCGTACTGGTTTGAAAGGCCCCAGCTGTGGTACGTACATCTGAAAGCTCTCCCCGTGCCGTGTTATGGTTAGGAAGTCCATCTTGATGCTCACGTTATGATGTTACTTTCTCAACTCCATTTCGCGAGCCGTAGGTGTTTTGGGAGCACTGAGTTACCTACTGCGTGCCCGGAATTACGAAGGATTTGCGGCACAGCCACTGGATGTGTGCAGTAAGGCTGTGACAGCATAGGCCTGCAATGTCCTCTGTCCCCTGAAGCGTAGGAAGGAGGTGGGAATTGCCTTTGCAGTGTGTACCTGGTTTGTGCAGGCAGACTTGGATTTGAGGGAGGCATGTGGGAGAAGGGTGTCTGACCCCGTTTTCTACTCTCGGGGCAGCAGCCCCTGTGTTTGCCAGGATACATATCGCTGGTGCTTGCTGCTGCTGGCTTCTCTGTCCCATCTCTTCAAGTGGGAACAGCGGCCTTGTTTCCTGCTGGGTGCCTGGGTGGCTTTAGGGGGTCGTTTCTTCATAGCAGGAGTTTGTCGGTTGTGGTGGGCTCTCGGTGCGGTGCAGCACCATCCCCGCTTCCCCCCGGGCTCAGTTCGTTGCCCCTTGGGGTCGACCTGGGCTGCCCAGCGATGCGTAGGTTCTGCGCGCCGGTTGTTGCGACACTCGGCCTGCTGGTCAGTCACACTTGGTACGCGTTGACAGTCCGTTCTCGTGATGGCTTGTGGGGCGGGGGGGCAACAAGCGGGTATTTCAGACTTCACCACCAAGTAATTACACATTCATTTCCAACCCCACGAGTAGCTCTGGGTAGCCTGGCTCTGCTGCCACTTGGCATGACGGTTCACTGCGCTGTTGCCACAGGCTACCGGGTGTCTCAGCCACTGATCCGTACTGAAGTCTGCAAGGGTTTGCTGCTGCTCTCTTTTTGCCCACTCTGAACTCGGAGGAGGATGCTTACAGCACGATCTGTCCTGCTCCAGGTGCTGGCCTACTCCTGTGTGTACAGCTACTACAACCAGGACACTGAGAGCATGGATATTGTGGAACAGCAGACTGAGAGCCTAGAGCTGCACACTAATGCTCTGCAGATCCTTCTGGGTAAGTCCTGCAGCCTCTCCAAAGTAGCATTCCCAGCTGTCTGGTTCAGAGGGTCTGTAGTGGGCGATAGCACACACAGCAGCACCCAGCTGGTCTCTCTCGCTTCTCCCAGCCCATTTTTGCCTCCTTTATGCCATTTCTGGAAAGTCCGCTGAAGCAGTTTGGCTGCCAGTGGAGATGGATCATAGAATCACAGAATCATGGAATGGTTTGGGTTGGAAGGGACCTTAAAGCCCATCCAGTTCCACCCCCCCTGCCATGGGCAGGGACACCTTCCACTACACCAGATTGCTCAAAGCCTCATCCAGCCTGGCCTTGAACCCTTCCAGGGATGGGGCATCCACAGCTGCTCTGGGCAACCTGTGCCAGTGCCTCACCACCCTCTCCAGGAAGAACTTCTTCCTGATATCCAATCTAACCCTCCCCACTTTCAATTTAACCCCGTTCCCCCTTGTCCTGTCACTACAGGCCCTTGTAAAAAGACCCCCCCAGCTTCCTTGTAGCCCCTTCAGGTACTGGAAGGTGCTATAAGGTCTCCCCGGAGCCTTCTCTTCTCCAGGCTGAACAAGCCCAACTCTCTCAGCCTGTCCCCATGGCAGAGGTGCTCCAGCCCTCGGAGCATCTTCATGGCCTCCTCTGGACTCGCTCCAACCAGTCTGTATCCTGTGCAGTAAGGAGCAACCTGTTCCCTTCTGGAAGAGGAGTGTGTGTGCACAGGAGACATAAGTAGCTGTGACAGGCTTCATAATCACAGCCAAGGGACTCAGTCTCTGCTTGAGGGTGCAGGAAGCAGCGTGACGTTGTTGGCCGTGTCTTGCAGAGGAAACCCTGCTGCAGTACCAGGACCTGGCCTCTTCTCTTCGGCTCCTGAAAGCAGAACATTTCAGTGCTGGGCTGGAGTTGGTGCACCAGATCAGGGAGCGTCTCTTTGCAATCCTCTGGCATTCCACACAGGTGAAGTCCACGTGCCCATCAGTGGCTTCTCTCGCTCTCCTCTGGTTGGGTCTTGGGCAAACCTCGAAAGGGGCTCGATCAGCTGAGGGGGTGGACTCTCAGCAACGTGTCTTCCCTTTCTGGGAAGGGGTTCGCAGCCCAGGGTACACCCCAGATCACATATTGTCTCTCTCTTCCGGCTGTTCCTCTGTGCTAGCAGGATTTCCACGTTGGGCTCCAAACTTTGTCGGATCCTGCTCAGAGAAAGGCGAGACTCTCGAACGTGCCTACTTCGGCCCGGGCCAGTATAGGGTGAGTGTTCTTGGGGTGACGAGAACCACTGTTTAAACCAAGGAACACAGCTGGCATCTGCTGTGACCAGTCCCCTCTGACAGTGGCTGCGTTTCCAGGGGCTGAACAGGGTGCTGAGCGTTGTGAGAGAGAAGGACAACTAAGTCATGAGGCGCTCTGCTTCAGAGCAGGGTTTCGGGTCTCCTCGGGAAGAGACGGAGGCACCAGAGCTGGTGGCAGACCGCAGCTTGTTGGCCCGGCCAAGGTCTCTCTGACGTGCGCAGATGAGGCCATTAATCCCCCTCTCCTGGGTGCACCTTGCGTGGCTGCTGTGTCCCTGAGGCAGGGCTCGGGAGGGGGATGCTGAGGGAATGGCAGCAGGGAGGACAGGGGTAGCGTGGCGTGGGTTGTGGTTGCTGCTCACAGCCGGGGCTCTGCTCTGACGCTCTCCTCCGCAGCAGGCCAAAACGTTCCGTCACGTGTGACTCCCCCAACACAGACGAAGGTGGCAAAGAGGTTGAAGAGGAGGAGTATGACCCGCAGTGGCAGGAAGACTACGATGACGACGACGACGATGACGACCTCGATGAAGACAACTTTCTGTTCGATGATGAGTCAGATAACCTTGACTGCGACTCCTACTTTGACGATGATGATGCCTACGACTAGAAGCGGGCTGTTGCCTCGCCTGCCAGCCTGGACTGCTGCCCCTACTCTGTCTCAACCTGTTTGCATTAGTGTATGTCCTCGAGGCGGCGTGGAGCTCTCGGGCACGAGAGAGAGGCGTTTCCTCTGGGGGCTCTTCGCTCAGTGACTCCCCTTTACTGTGCAGAAACGTTGGTCTGGACAGACAAGCTGTATTACTGTGGTCGCCTCTCTCCGAAAGGGAGACCCCCTGATGGAGGGGGGCATCTTGTTTGCTGTTTGTTGCAGTAGTTATCTTCTCTGCTATGCAGCAGGACAGGCTGCTGGTGGGGGCACGAGTTTGCTGGACTGTGTTTCAGTGTATAAAGGTATGCACGCCCGCCCGCCCCCACGTGGGAGATATATATATATATATATGCAGAGGTTGTTCAGATAAAAATTTATCTTTGGAAAAAACCCCCCACCCTGAGGAACAAGGGTTGAAAAATAAGTTCTGTTTAAAAAAAAAAGGGTTTTCTTCTAGCACAAGCCTCCGTGGTGTCTGTGGGGAACATGGGTGTGAAGGCACAGCCAGATGTTCTCGGGGGAGGAGGGTGTGACCTGAATGTGCTCATCTCAGGAGTTCCTTGTCAAATGGGTGTAGGTTCAGCATCCTCACCTCGGCCACACTGTCGGCCCTGCGAAGGGGCTTTTCCTTCCTGGGCAGGTCAGGGAACCACGGGGAGGGGTGGGAAAGAGGGCAGGGGGCCAGACTGCACGGCACGGTGGGGCTGGTGCAAGGCAGGGTGCCCGTGTGTTGACGGAGGTGGTAACAGCTGGTGCCCATCAGAAGGCGGATGGGGGACTGCTGTCAGGCTTGAAGGGTGATTTGGAGGTGTGTGGGATTATTTTGGAGATAGAGGGCTCTTAGGCCTTGGGTGTCATCTAGGAGGAAGGAGGGGCTGTTAGAGGATGCTGAGCAGGAGACTGTCTGCCAGGGGCAGACCAGGGAGAGAGGACTGAGTTTTCCCGCTCTCCTCCCCCTGCCTTGCTCCTAGTCCAGAGTCTGTTGTGGTGGAAGTCCCAACTCTGCTTCCCCCTCTGGGAATGGGCTCCCTGCCCGCGGGAGTGACACCCTCTCCTCGAGGCCACTGGAGGGTGAGATGTGGTGGGGGTGCCCAGGCAGCCTCACCTTTCCCAGTGTGGCCAGTCCTGGCGGGAACAGCCTGAACTCCCCAGGCTGTTGGGGGACCACGCAGAAAGCCCTAGTTGTCAGAGTTCCTCGTATGGAGACACATGCCCAGCGCTCCTCATCCGCTGTCTCCTGGATGCCTGCTTAAACCCCAAGAGTCAGTAGGACCATGCAGCCCCTGCTTTTCCTGGATGATATTTGTAGGGAAGGTCAAGCCTTGATCTTCTGCCCCGCCTTAGGACACCTGTGTTTGAGGCCTAACTGCAGAGCCCACAGGAGCCCGTGC